AGAAAAAAAAGAAAAAGAAAAAAAAAAGAAAGAACATGAAATCTGTATATAAAAAAATACTGTAATAGTAGATGAATCACTTACAAGTAAAAAGTTTTGCTCTACATCTACTGCACCAATTGATAACTAATAGTAATAACACCAGTTCAAGTTTAAAGTGCCCTACTACTAAATGTTCAACAAAAACTCTTTATAATTGATATTGTAATCAATCTATCTACAAATACAAATCGTAACTGTGTTGTGATCCTACATGTGATATGCAATTTGTGTCTAGAATAGGAGGCCATTTTGCGCTTATGTAAGTGTCAAATAACGACATAACAAAACTACCTTATGAGATAATGGACTGGCAAATCTTAATTACTTGTTACAGAAATATATTTTATTATGTATCTTTCATTTCGTACTGTTTATTATACATTAATGAAGTTTCCCTTTTTATATGTTAGTCATATTATTAAAGTTTTAATTTGAAGAATTAAATATTTCTAAATGATTATCAGCACCATAAAAATACGAAACTAAATGAAACTATACTTACACAAGCATAAAAGGTCTCGCTATTTCTTTAGGGAAAATATATTAGATCAATGTTCAATGTGCCAAATACTTGTGTTACCTACATTAAATGTTTCTAAAAATTGACTCATATGAATTAGTCCTACAAAATTATTGATATAAGTGGATATTTATGTACAATTCAATGTACAATAATGAATATCATTTTAACTGAACTGATAAATGCTGTTCGAAATGATAGTGCACAATAAACCACTATTTTTATTGATGAAGGTCGGATTATTATAGAATAAACCTATACTATTATACTCGCAGAGTTTAATAAAAGTATTATGTAATAATAAGACTTAAGCAATTTATAATTAATGTAAACATTCATTTTTTATAAATTATTTCGTTGAAAATTTTATGAAACACAATAAATGTTATGAGTGCTTACATATTCAAATACAAAATTGTCTTTACTATCATTTGAATAATGTATAGAGATGAAAACTTAGATAACAATAAAATAAAACATGATTTCAGTACATTTACTTATGTTAATAAGCATCGTTACACAAGTGATGCTTTTTTTCTAAATAACAAGATAAGTAGAATCAAATACACTAGCAATCTTTACTAAAAGTCTTTTAATTGCATTTTAAAAAATTATTCTTGAAGTGTAATTTTTCATCAATAGCAAAATTGTATCCATTGTGTCGCTATAAAATCACTATAATTATCCATACTAAATGTAACTAAGCCTACTGTTTTGTCCGAAAAAAAATTATGATCGAAAATAAAAACTATAAATCAGGAAATGCTATTTTTATTCTATTTACATCTATATTTTGCATTTACTTGAGTACCCTCACAATTGAAGTTATAATATTATAAGCCAGTTACATTCTCTTATATTTTTTTTCTATTAGAAATTCACAAACACTTTATTTTTTCTACTTCCTATAATTCTACTATTATATTAGGTACAGCAACGTTAATAAAATAACAAACGATTATATTTGAACTCGATAAGGAAAAATATATCACGAAGCTGAAATAATGTAATCTTCATTGTTATTTTATAATTTCGCAAGTTTTATACAATCTTAGTACATTAGTTTTTAGGAGCCATTTAAACAGCTTGCATGTAATATTCATGCTAGAATCCATACTTTACATTAATAAGTATTATTCAAATGTTTAATGAATCAATTACATTTAACAGTATTTTTCCCAATTACGATATTGATTGTATAACTTATATTACTTACACTTTACATAATACAAGAATAATTATTTTAACCTTGATAATCGAAGTAATCTATTTCTGGTTCTGACATCTTTATGTTCAACTGTGTTTCTGGTTTCTGGATTTTTCTTGCAGGTAGTGATAATATTGTCCTGAAAAAATAAATGATGTAAAATAAATGTAGAAGACTATCAATGAAAAGTATTTAAATAAAACGTAAAACATTTACTTTATAGAATCGTCAGGTTTTGAAGTGTTCAGCATTGGACCGGGAACCTTCCTCTGGCCATTTTTTCGTTGTACAATCTCTAAGAGACTATAGCTGGGTAACCAACACTATAATAAATTTTGATAAAAATTATGAATTTAATTCTATGGATTAAAAACCAAAAACACATTACCTTATCTTTTACAGCAGTTGCAACAACATTTCTTTTTGGTTCGTGATCATATGCCTGGCTTTGACAACCAAAATGTTCGCAAGATTCATGAACAAAGTGACGTTTATCCTTGTTCATACTGTCAAAAGAGTAACTGCGTGATTTCTGTTTAGAAATCTTCGCTAATTGAACCAACTCTGTTAATTTGTCATGGACCATTTGACAAAAATGTGGGTCTTTCTTAGCCCATTGTTTCATAAAATCACTGTATCTAGGCATTAATTTTCCACTTAAATCCGGATTTACAATTTGTAAACCTAAAGCCAATCTTCTATTTCGTTCTATTATTTTGCATTCGTCATTACATTCTAAAGTTTTCAACTGATTTTGCTTTTTCGCTCCTTGACCGAACACTTCTTCCAAATTAACAGAATGACCTAACTGCATATCGGCCATTTTACTGGCCAATATACTACTTGCTATTCTCTGATATTCTTTGGCATTTTCGGCACAAACGCGAGACATGGTTCTATGTCCACATTGGCATGTTACCTATTAATATGAAATTTATCGATAATTCATAAAAATAATATATTAATATAACTTTTTAACTTAATTATTTTTCAATTATTTTTTAATTCTGTTTTAATTAAGTTATGGTGTGTATACCGTTAAATTATTAATCTTGCTCCTAAAGGGGACACAGGTAATTACCTTAACCATTTCCTTGCATGATGTGTCTGGGCATTTACCCTCATGGCATGGGGCAGCACAGATATGTCCACACATTTCCCTTGGAGTAGTACAAGGTTGAGAGCATTGCTGTCCTGGTTTTTCACATGGTCCAGTATGACAAATAGTAATACACTTATGCCGACCACAAGATATGGGCTTATTACATGCTAAACCACATGAAATTCCATCAACATAACATGGCACAGCTTTTCGTAATTCATGTTTTCCGTGACACCATCTCTGGGTAAGAACAGTACAAGGAGGACATGTTGGTTCACTGTGACAATTATGCAGTACATGTCCACAAGGATGCTGACGAGAACAAGGCCTCTCACAAGTCGGTCTTCTAGTACCACAGGGAACAGGAGGAAGTATTACAGCCGCGCCACATTCGCAGTATAGTTCATCGAAGCTACTACGCCAACAAGGTTGACATCTTCCTACATTAATGTAACATTTTATACAATTTTAATTTCATTACTCTTTCTTCTTATTATAAAATTTAGCTTCTTTGATTTTGTTAGAAGGTATAACGTAAAAATTCTAACGCAATTAATATATTGATTAATATATTACCTTTATGGCAACTTTGTTCGCATTTATGTCTACCACAACTTAAAGTTTTAGAACAAATCAATGGACAAATATGCTCGATCTCTATGCAACAAAGTTGGTTACATTTGTGTTTGCCACAAGATCTTTTTTTCGTACATCTTTTTTCACATCGTGCATCATCAGCTTTCGATGTCAAATCTTTACAAGGTATTTCTCTATCCATGTTTCCGCAACGACATTTAACATCAGTAGTTAAATCACAAATAAGGCAATCTCCTTGGTGACATGTTGCTTTACACTTGTGAGGATTATCTAAAAGTAATATGTTATATTTTAATTTTCTATTATACATATATTATCAAAGAAATACCGGATCTCCACTTTAAAATACATACTAGGTTGTCCACATTTTAAAAGTTTCGAACATATTTTGTCACAGATAGGAATTGGATCTAAGCAAGTCTGTCTTTTTTCTGTTAATGGTGTTTGTCCACAATAACAAGTTGTAATTTTCTCAAGAGTTAAAGAACAGGGTTCACAAGTATCTGCATGACATAACTTTGCACAAGTATGATTTCCACATTCTAATAATTTGCCACAAATATTTTCACATGAATACATAAATGAAATATTACTCTGACATGTTACTTCTCTTGTATTTTTACCACAATAACATTCTGAAAATAAATTTATCTTCATAATTAAATTGAAAAGAAACATGATTAAACGTGATTATATTTAAATTACATACCTTGTGTTATTGTCTTTGCACAATTTTCACATTCTCCATGATGGCACTTTTCTTCACATTTATGTCTACCACAATTTAAGTCCTTACCACATGTCGAGTCACACAGTAACAATTTATGAGTACTGCATTGTATTGTTTGCGAAGTTTTACCACAACCACAATACTTTGTTACCATTGCTGTACACTGTGGACAAGATCCTGGATGACACAAAAGAGTGCACTTATGAGGACAACTATTTTTCGACAATGTTCTACTACACATTTCACCACAGGAATGTGCAACATCTCTACGATTCCATTCAGGTGCTCTTGTCTTGCCACAAAAACAAAAATAATCCTCAGGTATTAACAAGCTTACATTTTGACATGCTGGACATCTCCAACCATTTTCTACAATAATACATATAACTGTTAATAGTTTTTAACAAAAGTATAAATATTTAAGTATATAATTTAATTATTTTGTACTTCTTATAATTTACTACTTCTAACATATTGCTTTTACCTGCTTGTGATGATTTTGCCCACTTTTTAATACATTTTAAGTGCAAAACGTGGTAACAATTAGAACATGACCAAATGTAATTATTCTGTTTAATATATTCACAACATACTAAACATTCTAATTGTCCTCTATTCAGCTGATCTGTTAATCTTTCTCTTTGACTTGCATCATCATCTGTACAATAAAATAACGAAGTTATATTATGGTTACATTAAAGTGCATCATACTTCAATGAAATACTAACTTACGTACGTACCAACAGGTGATTTTTTACTCTGTCTTCGCTTTTGTATGCTATTTTTTTCACTAATTTCTTTTATACTCCTCCAATGTTCATATACTTTCTCTTTGTTTTCAAACATATAATTTTTACTTTTATCTTTTTCTTTAAAGGTTTCTATTTTACTCTCCTTATTGTGCTCTTTAAATCCATTATATCCTTGATAATTATGCTTCTTTTCTTTTATATCCTTTACTTCCAGACCAGTTTCCCCATTAGAATATTCTTTTTCTCCATTACTATACATCTGACCTTTTACTTTAGATCTATTCTCTTTACTGTAGCTTTCTCTATTGTATCCCTGATAATTACGTCGTTTTTCTTTATAAGAATTTTCCTCATTATATCTTGTATTATATTGATATTTTTTTATATTTCTGTTATTACTGCTCGATTGCTTTAAACCAGAATTATAATAAGTGAATTCCTTGACCTGATTATTAGATTCTTGCATACTACCATCTTGTGCATTACCATCACTAGCAGTAATAGCTCCTTGAACATTGCATTCGTTTGAAAAACCTTTATTTTTATTTGAATTTACCTCCATACTTGAAAATGATTCTCCTTTATTGAAATTCGATACAGAAACCTTTTTACTATTATTCATTGCATTTTTATTTAAGGCACTCTCACTTGCATCATCTGTATCTATTTGTGGTTTACCCGAATAATATTTATTAATGAAGTATTTATTACCTTGAAATTTATTAGTTTTACTTTGTTGCTGATAGGGATTTGTATGTGTGTTTCTTTTATAAAACTGATCTTGTTCTTCTTTAGATTTATGGTTAAAATTTTTTTTGTTATTATACTTCCTTTCATGTCTACTTGTATTACAAAAGAAATATTTATCTGATCTATCATTATCCTTGATACAAGTATCTGCAATATTAATAGATTTTGTATTTTGCAATCCATGATTCTTACTATTAGATTCTGTATTATTTGGCACAAACTCTTCAGCCATAGCATGCAATTGTGTGCTTGTATGTTCTTTAACTCCCCTCATTGAATTATGTTTAGTCTTGCCTCTTTTTAAATTATAATCATGTTTCCAACAAGCATCAGGTACATAACATTGTTGAGATTTAACAACATTTGGAAAATATTCTTGATTATTTAATACTCGAGAGTTATCTATCGGATTTGTTAAATGTTCATGATAACTATTAACCGTTGATAACAAACTTGGCGTGACATTTGTGCTTGAATGATAGAAAGTACTTGGGCAATTTTGCTCAAATATGGGTTCATTTTGTACATAGAACTCACGATTAGATTGTAAATAATCATTGTTCATATTATTGGGAAAGAATGCCCAGTTTTCTGTTGCTGGTCCAGGAACATTCTGATCAGAATATACATAATAATTTTGATCATCCGGCCCAGAGTAAGAACCATCCCAAGTGGCCATAATTTTTTCAACCTCACGCGTATACTTCAGAACAACTTTCTGCGTTGTAATTTGTGGTAATAACAAAAATACAATTATATTTATAAATCTCGTGCAATAAAATATCGAACTAACGTAAAATTGAACTCAAAATATGGTTAACTTATTTCTCTAAAAATTTTTTTGTGTTCTAATTACCAAGCTTCTGTAGTATACACCGTCGATTGTTTTTTCTAAATTTAAAAATATTACAAACTTATAACTCGTTGAGGAAATAATATAAAATCCAATTGATTTTGGAAAACGTAAAATGTACAACGTGGTACGAAAATTTTTTCACTCGTGACTTATCGAACACGATCAGAAAGTATGCATGTACGTTAACATGTACCAATTCACATTTGTTCCCAGCCTAGGTAGTGTAGTTCAAACCACAGACGAGATACAGAATAGATCTATCATCCAATGCATTTTTTCGTTCACGTCACGGGGGCTCCAGAGCCCCCGTACCATTTACTTGTCGTTTCTAACGTTACCGATTCAGTATAGAATTATTCTTTATTGTTCTATGATTATTCTAAATGTATAATATGTACTTATATTCGGTTTCTCTTTATACACTACACGTGTAACTGCTAAAATCTGCAAAACATATACTATAGGTTGATCGGGAAGTTCTATCGTTTCAGTTTTGAAAAACTAAATCAACGTTTTTACAATGAAACGTACACCACTTAATCTGCGGTATAAAAATATTTATAATATTTATTGTTACTTATAATTGTCTTCTAAGTACCCAGCAATTTGTTTCTAATATTTTCCATTATTACGCGATCCTAAGTACAGGCAATAATTAATACTATAATTGTAATATTATAATATTAAAAGCGAAAATTTCAAGCCAACGACAGCACTAGCGAAACAAGTCAAGACAAGGAAAGGAATAGGGTTAGACAAGGATAGAGAATTTTCAGTCCGAAACTAACGCCACCTCGCGTCTGGTGACGAGAGCCACGACTTTTCAATAGAAACACAGAATATAAACAGAGGTACTAGACAAGGAAGGCAATAGTGTGCGAGAAGGACAGAGAGAGAACGTTTCCTATTGGTCCTCTGGTCGCCATGTTCTACCTCCTAAACGCTAATCAAGGCAGCCAGGGAACAATCATTAATAACTCATTAATTAGGATGATTTTGTGACCACTGACAGTTACCAAACTAACTGCAGAATATGAAAGAAAGTCCATTCTACATTCTACATACTTAAAAGTGCACAAATAGTTAGGGATTTCTAATGAAATAACAAAAATGTGTTACGCTTGAATGCGACGGGTGTAATACTCGCTTAAAGAATGTTATACAACTAGTAAAACAACAGGAGATATGTTAATAAAAATTACACGAGAATGTAGCTGAAAGAGTTACCTTTCAGACGCAAATAGTTAGTTTTATGGGAATTTAGTAGAAAGCTATGAAATAATTGAAAATGCGTCATATTCAGTCGTAACACATTTTCGTTATTTCACTGGAAATGCGTAATTAATTATGCACTTTTAAGCATGGGGAATGTAGAATGGACTTTTATTTATACCCTCCAATAATTTTTGTACCCGTAAGTGATGTAGTTTACTAGATATTAACAATTGTTTGTAACATTCGACTTTACTCGGGTACGGTGAATAGGGACTGCCTCCTTTACTGTTTAATTACTCTCGAACTAAGCCGAACACGTTAATAAAAATTATAGAAGAATGTAGCTAAAGGTGTTGCCTTTCGGATGCATATAGCTAGTTGCATGGGAATTTAGTAGAAAGCTGTGAAATTATTGAAAAGCCGTAAAGATGCCTGACGGTATGCGGTATCGTTCCCGACATCACGTCCTAAAATTGTTAATAACTAATTATTGAAAGGGTTTATTGGATTGAAAACTGTATGCGAAAGTAGCTGAAGGTCCACGCTACATTCGTCAATCCTAAAAGTTCAGAAAATCATCGTAATTATTCAGTTATTAATGATTCTTCCACCCCCGGCGACTTGATGTAGCCCGTGGGTGATAGAGCACGCGGTGCCCGCCAGCCAATAGGAACCGTCCTCTCTTTGTCCGTCTCGCACACTAGTGCTTTCCTTGTCTTATACCTCTGTTGTCATTCTGTGTTCCTATTAAAAAGTCGTAGTCCGCGTCGCCAAACGCGGGATGGCCTTTGAAAATTTTCTGTCCTTGTCTAACACTCGCCACCATTGCTATCCTTCTCTATTGTTGTTTATTCCTCTTGAATAATCTCTCTCGTCATCGGAAAAGACAGAAAAGGACAGAGAATCGAGAAATATGACACCGCTTTGCAGATGAAAATTCCACTCTGAGAAAATTCTGACTTAATAGGAACACAGAATTTGCATGGAGGAATTTTAGACGAGGAGAGAAAAACGAGTCTCCATGAATTAAGCAAGGATAGAAAATACCGGTCGGAGAATAATGCCATTTCTTATTAGAATAATAGAATGTGCGCGGAGGTATTAGACAAGGGACGCACTAGTGTGCGAGAATGACAAAGTGAAACGCTTCCTATTGGTCCGCGGGTATCTAAGTTCCGCCTCCTGATGGCGGCCAGATCGCCATTAAGTCGGCCAGGGAATAATCATTAATAACTCAATAATTACCATGATTTTGTGAACTTTTAGGATTGACAAATGAAGTGTAGACCTTCAGCAACTTTCACATATAGTTCTCGATGCAATAAACCCTTTCAATAACTAGTTATTAACAATTTCGGTAGGTGATGTCGGGAACGATACCGCATACCTTTACGGTTTTTCAATAATTTCATAGGTTTATACTGAATTCCCATGGAAATAACTGCATGTGTCTGAAAGGTAACTCTTCTAGCTATATTCCCATGTAATTTTTATTAACATATTCCTTGTGGCTTGATAGTTATTTCACATTCTTTGGGAGAATATTACACTCGTCGCATTCAATCTTAACGCATTTACGTTATTTCAATAGAAATGCGTACTTAATTATGCACATTCACGCATGGAGAATGTAGAACGGACTTTTATTTATATTCTCCAATCATTTTTGTAGCCGTAAGTGATGTGGTTTACTAGATATTAGCAATTATTTGTAACATTCGACGTAGTAGAAAAGTCGTAGTTCTCGTAACCGGAAGCGAGATGGCGCTAGTTTCGGACTGAAAATTCTCTATCCTTGTCTAACACACGTCACTACCGCTATCCTTGTCTACCTGTATTCCTTTCCTTGTCTTACTCATTTCTACGCGAATTTAACAAAATAGGATTTTGTACACCTGTCGACTTTACCATCTTTAATGGTTGGATTGTATACATATAATTCCTAAACTCACCGCTCTATTATCATAGAGGGCATACCAAATCTCTGACTTTTTACGCGATCGGTATTTCAGAACGTGAGACGGAAAATCTCGCAAGACGATAGATCTAATCTGTACCTTGTTTGCGTACAACATTCATGAAACCTTCGAAAATAGTTTGAAATATATAATCAACATTTAATTGGAAGTGTATATTCGAACAATCGTTTGAATGCAAATAATACTTAAAAGAAAAATATATTATCGATTTTATCACATATGTTACTCAAAGCGATATATTGAATGTTGATCGTACATAAGTACTTTTAAAAAAAGAAATTTAGAATATTGTTGGATGTTGTGTGTAAGAGAGAATTAATTATCCATATGTGGAATAGATGGCACTGTACCCAACAGAATTCACTTTATTTATTAACCTTGTATACTGATTTATACGGTTGTAAACAATTATTGAGAATCGTATATTATGTACAAATGTTGTACCTGTTTTATGAATCTTTTTCGTAAATATAGATATATAAAACTATTCGTTGATAGTTTATGTCAAAGACATGATCATATCATGAACTATTAACTTTCTAAATATATTGACAATTTTAACATTTGCAGTGTTATTTTTGCAATGTAAGTTTATTGTATCGTTATATTTTCGCTTACTCTTAATTATATGTATTAAAAGGAACAATACTTACAATAATTCAATTGATAAATTAATCATTATAAATTGTACATGTAAACTTCAAATTATTTTTCTTTCTTGTTATTTATATAGCAAAAACATGGCAACTGAGGAAGGTAATCGTGGCATAGCATTACAATCGTTAGAAGAAAATGGTCAGTCTGTAACTAGTACATCGCAACATGCAGGAAATAGCAGAGAATCAAATACTGCTAGACCCCAAAATAATTTGCAAAGGATCCAACAAAGAAAACAACAAATGTTAAATTTACCTCAAATGAAAAAAATACTAAAAATTGCAACATATAGCGCATGTAAAGTTGAAGATTGTAAGTGCATCGGGTGGAAGAATTCTCAATTGTTGACCAAGTCTCCTAAGAATGATTCACAGCAACCTGTTATAAATTTTTTTGATCCCTGTAAAAGTTGCACACATGTCTTAGAAAATCATGTATCACATTTAACAAATCAGTCAGAAGAAGAAATCAATAAATTATTATGCATGGTCATAGATGCTGACAATATTTTCCTAGGATTACAGAAAGAAGAAGATCCTGATACAAAGAAAGTTTATTTCTATTTATACAAGCTTCTAAGGAAATGTATACAGTCTATAACTAAACCTACGATAGTAGGTCCTTTAGGACAGCCACCTTTTGATAGACCTAGCATAGCAAAAGCAGTAATGAATTTTGTTGCATATAAATATGGTCACTTGCCACAAAGAGACATGCAAGCTATGTGTGACATGGCAAAAATGTTTTTACATTGCTTGAATCATTGGAATTTTGATCCACTCAGTGCTAGGAGAGGTACAATTAGCGCGGAAGAAGCTCCTGAATATAAAATAAATCATACTCGTTGGCTAGTATTCTGTCATATACCAGCATTTTGTGATTCATTACCTCATTATGACACATCTTTAGCTTTTGGACGAACGTTTGTTCAAGCTGTTTTTAAGCCAGTTTCAAGACAATTGTTAGATAAATGTCATAGCGAGCGAGATAAATTAGCCCCGGAAAAACGAGTAATAGTTTTAACACATTTTCCCAAGTATGTAAAAATTTCTTCTTTTCTTTTATTTCTATTACTTTGCTAACTAATAATCTGCAATATATTTGCTTAATTTAAGATTCCTCTCAATGTTAGAAGCAGAGATTTATTCCGATAACTCACCAATATGGGATCCTGATTTTAAACAAGTGCCTCCTACTTACTTACAATCTGCATTAGAATCGAAAACCAATCAAGGAAGAAGAACAGGTGAATTTGAGAAAGTTACAGTTCCACCAAATGATAAAGATAATTATACAACAATTAATATAAGTCCTGGCATGAAGAAGATTCATGAAAAAAGATCACATTCGGAAGGACGTTCAGATGTAAAGAGAAGAAAAAATGAAGAACTTTTTGAAGATTTACCAGAAGAAACTGTCGCTGAAATTGTAGCGACTATTAACGATCCTAATTACATGTGTGGGCCTGACGCGGTATTTCCACCAAACGTTCCGCGAGATGAAACAGCTAAGATTGAAGAAAGCAGAAAGATTATAGAATTTCACGTAGTTGGAAACAGTTTAACACAGCCAGTTTCTAAACAAACAATGCTTTGGCTAATTGGATTACATAATGTGTTTAGCCATCAATTGCCTAGAATGCCAAAAGAGTATATATCTCAGTTAGTTTTTGATCCGTAAGTACGATATATGATAAAATGAAAATTATTATTACTACTGATTATGATCATCTATCTAAGTTACAATTATAACAACTCCTTGTTTTTAGGAAGCATAAAACGCTCGCTCTGATAAAAGATGGTAGACCAATCGGTGGCATTTGTTTTCGAATGTTTCCTACTCAAGGTTTTACAGAAATAGTATTTTGTGCCGTTACGAGTCAAGAACAAGTTAAAGGATATGGTACACATTTAATGAACATGCTTAAAGATTATCATATAAAAAACAATATATTACATTTTCTTACATTTGCGGATGAATTTGCAATTGGATATTTTAAAAAACAAGGCTTCAGTAAAGATATTAAATTATCTCGATCAATGTATCAAGGATATATTAAGGATTATGAAGGTGCAACGTTAATGCATTGTGAACTGAATGCAAAAATTGTATATACCGAATTTACGGCTGTGATACGGAAGCAGAAAGAAATTATTAAAAAATTAATTCATCAAAGGCAACAAGAAATACAAAAAGTTCACCCTGGTTTAACATGTTTCAAAGAAGGTGTTAGAGGTATCCCAGTAGAATCTATTCCTGGTATTCGTGAAACTGGCTGGAAGAGTTATGCTCAGACGAGAACGAGAGGAGTGGCTAAAGGAACTCAAGGGCCTGAACCAGTGGAAGCATGTTTGGATATCACTGATTCTTTATATAATGCTTTGAAAAATGTTTTGAATAGTGTAAAAAACCATAGTACAGCCTGGCCATTTCTAAAACCCGTGGATAAAAATGACGTGCCAGATTATTATGACCATATTAAATATCCTATGGGTCAGTGTATAATAGAAACTTGAAATATTAAAAATGGAAAAAATTGTGTAACAATTTTTATTTTTCAGATCTCAAAACTATGACTGACCGACTAAAAGCTAGATATTATGTTACAAGAAGATTATTTATCGCTGATATGACACGAATTTTCACAAACTGTCGTTTGTACAACAGTCCTGATACCGAATATTATCGATGCGCTAATGCTTTAGAAAAATATTTCCAAACAAGAATGAAAGAAATTGGTCTTTGGGATAAATAAAATTTATATACCAGAAGTAAATTGTGTCGATTATAATTAATTACTTCGTATCTGTACATTCACTTGTACATACAGAGTTCAGATATTGATCGTTTGCAAAAGAAAAATTAATTTAAGAAGAAAAGAAGAATAATAAAGAAAAATATTATTTATTTATCTGTATATATGTATGTATAATGTCTACCTTTTCATCAAATATAACTGAAAATATTTACTTTTGATTCCGTAATTTGTAATACATTTGGTACTATATTCTTGATCATTTTTGTACCCTAAGAAACAGTTGAAAATAGGATCTACAGCAAATTAAAACCAAACTAGATACTTAATTTCACGGCCTAATTATAAGCATTAGTCGAACAGTTAATTAAGGAATGTAATACACCGATTATAATGAGATTCTACATAGTGGTCGTTCTATGGAACAGTGAATCTTTAAAATGCGTTAATTCTGGGAGACTTAGTAAACTGAAATTTCTATTTTCTGTAAACACTAGTACGTTAATATATCAATGGTTAAGAAATGTTTTAGTAGAGTTTAAATTTCGAATAAGCTGTATATATGTACATATTTATATGAAAATTAAAATATTTCTCGTCTATATCTTGAATTTTATACAAATTCGTTTGCGTTCAGTGAACTCTTAGATTTTCACTTTCTTTCATAAGCAGCATTTACTCGTACTTAAATACAAATGAAGTATGTTATGGTCTCAATTGTATTCAGTTAAGATTATTCAATATAACCAAAGAGACAAGGAAATACTTTGCATGCTCTACTTAATACAAACTCTATATGTAATTTAATAAGATTCTCTTAATTGGCATATATTAAAAACCAATTAGATTCTCTCATAAAGCATTCATTTCAACTTCTGTGTTCAGTATAAGATTAGTACTGTTACATAGATTTTATAAATTCTATATAGTAATTAATACAATTGTAGTCATTTAACTTTTAAATTAAACGTTTTTCCATCTAGGTTACATTATGATAATATAATAAATGTAGTAAACAATAAAATAGTTTTTGTCAATTTATAAAATATCAATGAAACATTTGTTAGCAATTATAAAAATATAAATTCTAAAAATAGAACTATCACCTCATTATATTACTTTAAGTATACATTAATCCATTGAGGTGCAAGAAACTATTTAAGATACAGGCATAAATGTTCAGAGGTAGTAAAAGAGGGGGGATCAATATAAAGCAGCTCCATTCTTCTGCTGGAACAATATTAGAAGAGTCAATGCACTGTTGAGATAGTGCACAATCTAGTCAAAAAATAAATTACCTGTTTCTTTTCACAAACAAGTTGAACCTTTTTTTTTTTTTATACAAGGGAAAGAAAAATAAGTATTTTTTATTTAAAATGTGTGACGACGACGTAGCAGCTTTAGTAGTAGATAATGGATCAGGGATGTGCAAAGCAGGATTTGCAGGAGATGATGCTCCACGTGCTGTATTCCCCTCCATTGTTGGAAGACCAAGATACCAGGTAAAACAAACTTTTCCCTTTATCTTCCTTGTATCACTTACTAATTACTATAATAATTCATGATACCTTAATTACAATTTATGTACTACTTATTTCTTAAAAATACATATGAAGAATCATAGAAATCTTGAATACTCTATCCAATCTTCAAAATATTGAAATGTTACAATCTTTTAAACTCTTAACACTTAATATTTGTATTAATATGATATAGCTATATTTAATATAAGTTGTAATTGAAGATTTTTTTATAATTACAATATTGTAAAATTTTCAAAATTACTGAACCTTTGATAGAATTGGAATTATTATAAAAATAAATATCTATCATTCGTGAATTTATCCTAACAACAATAAAAAATTGCGAACAGGGGATCATGGTTGGTATGGGACAAAAAGATAGTTATGTGGGAGATGAAGCGCAAAGCAAAAGGGGTGTTTTAACAGTTAAATATCCAATCGAGCATGGCATTGTAACAAATTGGGATGATATGGAAAAGATATGGCACCACACATTCTATAACGAACTAAGGATTGCGCCGGAAGAACATCCCGTTCTTTTAACCGAAGCTCCTTTAAACCCTAAAGCTAACCGGGAAAAGATGACACAAATTATGTTTGAAACGTTTAATTCTCCAGCAATGTACGTTGCTATACAGGCTGTTTTATCGCTTTACGCTTCAGGACGCACTACTGGCATTGTATTAGATAGTGGTGACGGAGTTTCACACACAGTACCGATTTACGAGGGTACGTATTCCCCTGCCCCCTATATAATATATGTGCATATATTTACATATGTATTATTTCTCACTTAAGCTTCATTTTTTTTATACACATAAAAAAATAGTAGAGATCATTTAATTTAGACACCTGAAATATTTTCTCTACAACTGACATTTAAAACAGAAAAAAATATTTTCCAAAAAAATTATGATTTTTTTACCATCGTGTATTTTTTTTTTTTTCGCTACAAGCTGTTTTTCAAATATATTGTATAGCTTTAATGAAAATCTATAAGAATGTATTTAACAAAAAATCGTATTTTACACAGGATATGCCTTGCCGCACGCAATTTTACGTATGGATTTGGCTGGCCGTGATTTGACAGATTATCTCATGAAGATTCTAACTGAAAGAGGATATTCCTTTACTACAACCGCGGAGCGTGAAATCGTTCGGGATATTAAAGAAAAACTGTGTTATGTTGCTTTGGACTTTCAGCAAGAGATGGCAACGGCTGCTGGTTCGAGTGCCCTGGAAAAAAGCTATGAATTACCAGACGGTCAGGTAATTTTAATTACATACATCATTAGTATTGGACAGTCTCCACCGGTATACCTACATGTATTCAAGAGAATAATAAAATAACTTAAAATAATAATATACCCTGAGTGTATTGAAATGAGCTATTTAAACTAGGAAACTAATTAATGTGGATGTTTTAGGTGATCACTATCGGAAACGAACGTTTCCGGTGTCCTGAAGCGATGTTCCAGCCAAGTTTCCTTGGCATGGAATCGTGTGGAATACATGAAACGACCTACAATTCAATAATGAAATGTGACGTCGATATTCGTAAAGATTTATACGCGAACTCAGTTCTATCGGGTGGTACCACTATGTATCCAGGTATCGCGGACAGGATGCAAAAGGAAATAACGGCACTGGCTCCGTCCACGATGAAGATCAAGATAATTGCGCCTCCGGAAAGGAAATACTCGGTCTGGATCGGTGGCTCGATCTTGGCCAGTTTAAGCACCTTCCAACAAATGTGGATCTCGAAACAGGAGTACGACGAATCAGGACCGTCCATTGTGCACAGAAAGTGTTTCTAATTTTCCCGGTATTTTCGGATCGAAAGAAATTTCACTACGTCCATTTAAAAAGTTACATCCTAATATTGTATCGCAATTGAATTCTTTTGCTTTACAAAATTTTCCGATGTATACAAAAGTATGCATCAGAACACATTATGTAACATTTATTTAAAATTTCGATCTTTTTATAGGATCATCAACCTGTAGCATTCGTCAAGATGTTTTTTGTACGAAATAATTTTATTCATTTGACATTTCTTATTTCTAAATTATAATTTCTATTAGATACAGGTCACTTCATAAGTTATAAACGGATCGTACGTCTTACTTCTTTTATTCTGTCCCTTTCTACATTATTTATTTTTAATTATTTATTTCCTCAATTCGTTTAAAACACGAACAAATTCGCATATTGATATATGTATAATTGAAGTACGTTAAGAATGTAATCGTTCATTTATTTCCTACGATTCAATCGAATGTTTCGACTGAACTGATGTTGTTAATACTATGTATTACAAATAGATCTGTATTCTCTTAAAGATGATCCACCACTTGTGAAACGACCTGCATGCAAAGTAATGATGTCTGTACTATATTATATAGTATAATATTTATATATAGTACACAATATAATAAATATATTTCGCAAATAAAAAAATAAAAAATTGTAAATGAAAGAAGTTGTCTAGTTCAAAGGGGAAATTTTGTTTATCCCGATAGAATTGTTAAGATCACAATTTATAAAACTGGTGTCACTTGTGTTTTATCCTGAAACATGACCCACATAGTTACGCTTATTACTCGTCAAAAGGAATAAAATGCTAAAACAAATAACATAGTTCGATTTGCTCAATTCATTACTATTATTTCATT